TTTCAAATTTAATTACTACAATTAACTCGACTTTACTTGCCAATAAATCGACAGCTAGCATGAGTTTATTGTTGGCATCAATTAAAGATAACATTTTGCAAATAATAATAAGTTTGATTTCAATTGCCACAAAATATGACATTTTAATTTATATGTGCAATTTAAAATATTAAATGATTCAAAAGGTGAAGGTTTATGGTGTCTTACCTACTTATAAGGGATATAGTTAAAAAGTACCCTATAAATATTTGACATCCGTGTCAATGTTTGTTTGAATAGTATGAATTCTAGATATTATCATTAATTACTTATCTTTAATCTTTTATTGTACAGAAGCATTCCGAATTTCCCGAAAAATCTAAGAATGTAAGATTCCTATCGAAAAACCGACCAATCTCAATTTCAATTTCTGCTTTATTAAGTCTGTGTAAATAGGATAAGCACCAGAATGTGAAACTTCATCTATCTGTTTAGGCGATTATGTTTGGTCAAAATGGAGTTACAGCACGCTGTGTATGAGGTTACAGCCATAACACAGACTTCCCTCTGGCAAACAAAACACAATAATTGTTGTGTGTGTGTGTGTGTGAGTGTGTGTGTCACACACAATAAACTGGCGAAACTGAATGCCGAAAAAAGCAATTTGGCATAAAAGCCACAACAGACAAGACCAGTGGAGACAATTCCGCCCACCCCGCACTGAAATGCCGCACTGACAACAGCCGCAGATTCATTCCCAATGACAGACACACATATGAAAATAATGCGTGGTGAACATTTTCAACGCAGTTACACAATGCACAGGACATAAGCTCCCAAATAACTGCTCACCCAACCTTTTCACGAACACGAAAAGATTGTCCATTGTCAAACTGGAGGACAATGCCAAAAATCTCATACTGGCTGGCAAATTAGCATAGACGTAGAAATGTGTGAAGCAATTACCAAAGCACAACACAAACTCTGCTTCTCCTAGCCACAAACCCTTCAAATAGCACCGAGCTACCCCTTTGGGTAATTACAGTTTAAATTGCATTCGAATGCATGTGGGGCGATCGGCATTAAGTGGCGCCCAACAGTGGCTGTGCTCGGCTTAAAAGTGCGTCGGCCTGGCCCAAATCCCAATTCAATTGTTTGTCAATCATATGTATAATTAAGAGCCACAGTCAATTTACTTCTTCGTCAACCCTCAAGATGAATATTCGTGTCGCTCGTCATTGCTTTTTGCGGTTGCAACCAAAAATAAAAACAACAAATTTTCATGGTGAAAGCTGCTGCCCTAATCTGCAAGACTGTGTGGGAATCCGGTAAGTGCCTGGGTCTTTTTTTTTGGGGGTGGCTTGCAGTTTACAACCCTTAACCCTAAATTCTTAACCCTTGCCGTGATGCCCCCAACTGCAGCGCTCACTTGCTCCCCCAAGCATTTTAATACCAGCATGCTTTGCGGTTAATGCCACAATTAAGTGACTTGTCAATTGGTTTGTCAATTGCGAAGTGGGTCTGAGGTTTTCATTGAAGGCAGTTGCCTCGCATAAACTGGGATTCCTGGAATGGTTTGAATTTTCAACAAGCCCAAGCTAGGCTAACAATCTGTAATATAATTAAACTAAGCAAAAGTACAAATACTGCAAAAAGTTTCTTAAACCCTGTAAATTACGTGAATTTACTATCAGTAGAAGTTCAGCTAAATTAAAGGTGCAGTCAAATATTGTTATCATGGAGGAAAACACGAAGCAAGAGCTGCTTAAGTAGATAAAATAGAAGTAGGTGTTTTTCAACAAATGCAATTTTAAATCATATGTTAAACATTGGCGAGCATAACAGAACAGCTGAATATATCTATGCACAGAGTCAGCGAAGCAAATTGTTTAATTCAAATGACCATGGAGATTAAGGATTCCGGAATGTGCATAAATATGACAAAATCACATAAAATTAGTTTTAAATATTTTGTTTACCAGTTAAACAATTTTTGCTTGGTCTAAATATAATCTATATAACAATATTGAAAGCGAATACATTTTATTTGCAAAAAACTTTATAAATATTTTTCAACAATTATTGAATTTGGCACATTAATATTACGGATCACTGAAAGTCAACCGCACAATTTCGATATTTCGTACAATTTTGTGGCACCATTTGTTGCATAATCCATTATGGGGGAAATAGCAACGCTTATTTGTTTAGACAACATGCAGAGGCGAGCGCAGATAAGCTCGGTCCATGGCCCAAAATAACAATGCCTGTCATATTTGCAAAGTGATGTGCTATGGACAGGAAGCTGGGGTTGGCCTGTACCCAAGCCGCCCCGCGCCCGCCTCTGTTAAGGCTTTGCAGTTTTGGGGCAAGTCCTTTGTCAAAATGCGGCTTAAAATATTTTGCGCAAATATTTTTACGACAGGTGCATGAAACGTTGACAGCGTGTCCTAGGCGTGCGAGAGTGTGTGTATTAGTGTCAACTTGTCATATGTGGATTTTAGGTACATGTCTGCACTATGCATATGCATGAATATCTATTTATATGTGCATACATTGTTGTTGTGCCTAAAACCCGTTAATGAAAGGCGCTCAACTTAATGGAGATTTATTGTTTTCCACGTGTTCTGTCATAAAATGTTGTTTTTGCTGTCGTTGTCGTTGTTGTTTCTGTCATTTGTATTACTTTTCACTCTTTATCACTCTGGCCAAATCTTCATTTCATTCTGTGTCATCCGTTCTGGTTGGTGTCTACTCCATGTATTTTATATAGATATTTTCATCGTTAATTTGCGCTTAGCCGAAAAGAAATGATTTATTGACCCAGGGCCCGTTGTGTTCTGATAAGGTTTATGACGTGCTCTCTATGTGAATACCGGAATTAGTTGTATTGCGGAGGTGTTAGGCAGTAAACAAACTCCTGATTATCACAAGTGTATTGAATGATCAAAATCATATAAAATTCAACGTATATTAAAGCTGTATTTCACAAGCCAATAAACATATTTTTCTATCTAACCCTAACTTTTTTTTTGTTGTTTTTTTTTTTAGCAATATTTCAATTTAGCAGGCAAGCCGCAAAGCATATTTGTACTTAAAGCTACATCCATCCATCATCTATCGTCTTTTTTAACTCTGTAACCACATAAGTTCGTGTTTGCAAATGTTGTATGTGGGTTCTTCAATGTTATATCTTGCTCTAGTTAATTTTACCTATTCCTTATTCCAAGCCACAATTTCGAAAGTAAGTAGCTACCTACCGATCCAAGAGTTAGGATATGTATAATAGGTAGTTTCTCATAAACCCCACTTAGGCCAGTTGCACTAACATATTCTCTTGACATATAGAGGTACACGCATATTTAAGCTAATTATGTAACCAGACATCCTTTATGTTTCCAGTTAATTGCAACTAAAAGCTGGCAAAGAGAAATTGTGTGCAATAGACAACTTTGTATTAAATATGTCAATCAGCGGAACTGGGCCAGAAGCAATGCTCATCAGCTATTCAATTCACACCCAATTTCATTTGCATTTGCTCAACAACAAACAAAAGCAGGATAAATAAAAGGAAGAGCTCGTAATGGTAGCGATAATAGAACGAAGGAGTTTGTACTAATTAGTATGGGGCAGCAATTAGCAGTAATTAATTCATATTCAAAACATGACCGCCTGCTGTTACTGCTGCTGTTGCTACTGCTACTGCGATTGCTACTGCTGCTGTGACTGTGACTGTGTTTATTCAAAAGCAACTCCAAGGACTTAACCACGCACCGGCGTAAACTTTAGCGATTTGCTTTTGACCTGCCACAAGACGAGTCAAATGAATGACACGGCAGACAGAAAGACTGACGGGACAGACACGGGAGCAGCTCGAGCCAAGTTGGAACCGAATGTCCTGGCTGGCTGCAACCAAGCGGCGTCCACTTGACACACATAACCGCAAGCAAGCAGCTCCTAGCGCCCATCCAACCCTCTCTCAAGAAGGCGAGTCAACAATGCGCCAGGCTTGAGCTGGTTGGAAGGGTGGCTAGGGCTGGGGTTTGGTTTTATGTGGCATGGACTGTGGGTCTGTCTGTGGTGCTCTTGGCGTTCGTCTATCGCGTTCCGGTTGCGGGCAACACCTTTTTAGCCAAGTAAAGGATTTTCCACGCTGCAGATAAAATCGTTCACCGCAAAACTTGTGCAGTTTTCGGTTTGCCGTGATTTCGATGTGGTTGCTTGAATCTTTTTTTTTTTTTTTGTATACCCTTTACACAAAACTTACTTATGTTTCAGAATTAATCGTAGAAAATTTTAATAAAAATAAATTTCATAAAAATCGTATAATTAAATATGTCATACTTGCAGGTCACCCTATTCTTTAGGGTGCAGTAACAAAATGAAACATGGCATACTATGTATAGGGTATTTTGTGTTTGAGCATTTGCCAGCTTATTGTTCGTTAGGTTTGGCATTTTAATTCTAAGCGACTGCAAATTATTGAGTGTAACGGCTTCTGAACTGAACTATGTAGCTTTAAGCCATGTTTAGGTATAACTCGTTCGCTTTTATGCGCTCTGTCACGTTTTGCATTTCTTTGCAAACTGTAACTATTTATTTTATTTGTTTTTGTTTTTGTAAAGGCATTAGTAAGAGCAAAGGAATTTTTGATGTGCCGCCCACCAAATCGACACAGAAATAAAGTGCTTAAACGACTTGGGACAGCGCCCATGGATGTTTAGTAAAAGCCAAAAATAAACAAAAAATTGAATGAATCCCATGAAATGTGAGCGTTAATTTCGCTTGAACTAACTTGAATATTTGGCAGATCTCAAATGAAAATAAACATTAACTTTTTGGGACATGGCGGACGGCACTCAATTGCCAGTTTGGCGCCTTTGGGCTCAACTAACACTGCAAATAAAACTAATTGAGTGCCTTGCTTTGCTCTCTGTGTATCTTTTACTTGTTTAGTATACATATATATGGCCTCTACTCTATATAATCTCACTTATTTACCATGTTTCTTATCTTTACAGTCAAGGCAGTTGGGCGTCTGGCAGCTGGTTTCTCAAGTCTGTGAAGTTTTCTGTTTTCTTTTTCTGTCTTGGGCTCACATCAAATGTAAGTGTTAATTTATGCTGTAACATACTTTTTGGCGTTAGCCAACCCATAAACAGCAAATAAATATATATAGAAGTGTGTTTGGTTATAGCCAGAGCTGGGCAATCCACGAACCTTTAGAGCTTCAATTATTTGCCAAATTATTTGGAAAACTGTTCGTTTGAAACCTTTTCGGTAGTTGATGCCTTTTAGCATGCAGCTTATAAAGACGACAAATTGTTGGTATCTAAATCATTTGACTTCACTTCTTATTGCAAACTGATATAACTGGAGCGATTAAAACAAAGGGCCTCGCGGAGTTACCCAAAACAGACGAAGCTTTGTCAATTCAAAAAGCACTCTTATTGTGTTTAGCAATTTTTTAGACTATGTTACCTTTATTTTTATTTGGTATCTAAAACGAATTTCATTTATGAATGCAAATATTATTTTAAACATTTTAAAACATTTCACCAACACCATGTTAAAATTACAAAAGTTTGGCTGGAAAAATGAATTTTAATTGTTGCATAGAAGAGTAATTGTGGCCGTGGTTCGTCCTGTAAATTGATATGACATTTAAATTCATTTATTTTACATAAACTAAATATGTGGATTGCATTAACGGGGCCTTAAATATTATATTTCAATTTATTTTCAATTTCAAAGTTAGGTATTAAACCTCATATTAAAACAGTAATATCAATCGTGATGTCCGTAACCTTTTATTATTAGGCACCTTTTTTATTTTTTTAATAAATTTTGACATACTTTTTTTTTGGGTTGATTTGCATTTATTCCGTCAGGCTCTTATATTATCTGTCAACCGTAGTCAAATCAAGCTCAAAATATATATTGTTGCGAATGAAAAATGAGATAAAATGAGCAGAAATGAGAAATGTAAAGTGTCTTCATCGCTTCAGCTCTTAGAAAACCATTTCATTATGCATAATATGGACATTTTTTGCTCCAAGGACTTTTTTTATTGTAGTAGACAGGGTCGGAGCAAGGATTCCATAAACTTATTTGTGCTAGATGTCTGAATAAAAATGCAAATACTGTGCCACTATAGTTTTTTGTTGATGTTTTGTTGGCCAGCCTAGATATCCATTTGGCTTATTGTCAGCTTTTGACAGTTGATAAACACATCATCAAAATAGTTGATGTATATAAGGCTTTTGCAAAGTCCAACTTTTGACCCCGTCTGTCTGCTGTCGGCTGCCTCTGCCTAGTAGCTTCAATATCAAATCAAATTTCTTTTTCCAGCAATTTATTTGGCTTATATATATATGTATATATACTTTATTTTACTGCACAAATATTTGACTTCCACAACGACAATAGCAACGATGGCGTTGACAAGAAGGCCAAGAAACCAACAGCGACATCCAGCGACAACATTTGACATTTTGTTTTTATTATTTTTGCTGGCCTGTCCTGTCTGTCTGTATATATGTCCTCACGCTCCTGATATTCCAGCCGCTCTCCTTCAAATTCCCCGCTCACACTCTCTCGTTGGTTTGGCAAAAAACACGAGAATGCGATTTTAAGTTTTTGCCGTTCTGCCCGTGTTGGCAGCGGCATTGTTTTTTCTGTGTGTGCTTATACCCTATAAAAAAACATATCAGAAGGATTCTATTTTGACCTTAACATAAATATATGTATATATCGGGCGATATAACCCCAAGATTGAAGCATGCATAGAAGACACTGATAAAAATATTATATTTCATATCTTAGGATATCATATTTCATATCATAAGTCATCATCTTTTTAAAGAACACATCGTATTACAGGGTATAGCATAGTCACTAACTCGCTGCTGGTTGTGTCGTTGTTAGCAACGGATCTCCATCATGATGGTACGCTAATAGTATTTGCCGCTTAGGGATTTTCCTTTTTAGCGCCACGCAAGAGCCAGATTTTGTATACATTTTTGTTTCCGAAGCCCAATGCTGTCTGCCACATATACGTAAATCCCATCTGACACATTATAAATGTATTGCTTTAGGGTTTCACATATCAGAATACCAATAAATTTGGAAATATTCAATTATGCCAACTGATCCGCGAAGTATATACATGAAGTATATAATATATACTTATATATATATAAGTTAAGTAACTTTTGAAATAAAAAAAGAGTGGGAAATAAATTGATATCTGTTCTCGATGAGCTCGTGAATCCTTTTAAAGTTTTTTTTTTATATTCTTTGATTTGTGATTATTATGTTCTCACATGAAAAAAAAAATTAAGTGCCCGAGTAAGCCATATTTTTTGTCCAGCGCCGAGCTGCCTTTGTAAACATTCTTTCAGGTCGACTCAGCTTTTCGTCGTGATTGAAAAAATATTGACTATATGGGGTCGGAAATTTTACTCTTTTAACCCATTTTCAATATGCTTAGGGCTTATTAAATAGAACCAAACATAATTTAAACCACATGTGCTTCAATCTTAACGACTTCTGAATGGCGCATACAATTTATCTATATTCTCCTCATATGCATAAAAGTAAAAAGAGACCTGCCTGTTAAATGTTAAGTATATTAATTATTTACTGATTCCGCAAATGACCAGTTGCAAATGGAATACTGGATAGTTTAATTTCTTCCTTCTTTAAGAGTATTTTCAAATGTTTGCGTGCCGAATAGATGATATTATTTTTCCGGGATTTATATGAAACGTGCTGTTCTATGGAGTAATTTACTACACTTAAATGTGCTTTAAATATATCGAATAGCCAAACCCGACGCCGAGTAAACGTATCGCAACTGACTAATGGCAAATGATTAAACTGAACCACAATACGACTAGACCCAAAACAGAGCCCACAGGAATTTCTAGTCATAAATTAGCTCCGAAAAAAGCATAAAGAGGAAAGTGGAAAGCGGCACCAAAAACAAACTGCACGTAAAAACGTCTGTTTTTCCTATAATTGGCCACATATTTTGTTGGTTTTGGCCCCAACCACGTTACCCAGATAGGTAAAATAGCCAAAAATTTAAGCTTCGGCAGCAGGCAACTAGAATTTGTTGGCTGGGCTGTGCCCCTGTATCTGGGCGGTGATTGGTCGGTTAGTTTGGCTTGTATTTGGCCAACTGGGGCACAACGGGCTTATCAATATATATATACTTTCGACAAGATGGTCACCTGAAAATGGCTAACGTGTGCTCAATACTGTTTCAGGTTGATGCTTGTAATGGAAATCCTTTACAGAGCAGTCCAATCATTTTCCTAAATATATAACTTTAAGGCGCAGTGGCAGGTTAGAAATTTATGGAAATAAGCCCTTTAAATATTTAAAGATCTAGAAAAAAGCAATTGAAAAGCTTATGAATTGCCAACACATATTGAATGAAGCTGGACAGATAAGTTTTCTAAATATATTTAACAGTATAACACACAAAAATGATTAAAATATAATAATGGGTTAACATATGTTGAATACTCTTGCGTATATATAATAGTTTTGGAACATTTGAATATATAAGATTCTATATTGTTAAATTTAATTACATTAAAAATGCATCTTCAAACTAGATTAAGATATCAGAAATGGTTGAAAGGGTTTCGATATAAATAATAATATAAGTATAATAACTACAAAGCCTAAAAGTTCTATTGAAAATTAGGTTAAATTTAGAAAACGAGTTATACGAACAGAATCGTAAGGCGAGTAATAAGTTTTTATGGTTTGCAGGAAAGGATATTCATATTCTTTGTAGTTAAAGTTTTTATACCCTGAACCCATTACAAATGGGTATATTTGTATTTGTGCAAAATCCATATGTATGTAACAGGCAGAAGGAATATATACATAAAGTATATATATTCTTGATCAGCATCAATAGCCGAGTCGATCTAGCCATGTCCGTCTGTCTGTCCGTCCGTCTGTCCATCCGTATGAAAAAAAAAAAAATAGAATATATATATATGCATATGATGTTTGAAGAAGAGGGTTCAGGGTATCCCCTAGTCGGGAGCTTCCGACTAGAACCTCTTACTTGTTAAATTTCATCGGAGTGTTTGTCTGAATACTGAGTAAATTTTCCTGCATCGCCTGTCAGAACAATAAAAGGAAAAAAAATATGTATGTGTTTGAAAAGGAGAAATTGTCAATAAATGAAATTGTGAAGAGTTAAAGTTCGTGTTCCTAAAAAAATAATTTATTGTTTGTTTTATTCGTTCAATATTCGCAAATAACAGGCCGTAAAAATAAAAGATAATGTAAATAATATTGTTTGCTTAACTTGCTTAAGTCCAAAAAAAAGTATATTAAGTGGAAATATTTGTACCGGAAAGATTTATTTTTTTATTTGTATTTTTTAGTGAGGGAGATTTTGGCTACTTGCACATCAATTAAGTATTTAACTGTGGAGTATTTCTTGTTTGCCAAACAGCAATTTAACATTTTAAAGCCAAACAAATTTAAAAGTAATTTATTGAAGCAATGAAATGTCGTTATTGTTTATTGAGTTAAATAAAATAAAGTGAGTGTGTCCATGTTGCAGTTAAGAGTGAAAGGAAAACACAAATTGGCAGATAGACGACGACTAAGAAGACGAGTCAGAGGTAAACTAGAAACCGAAGCAGCTGGCAAATAAAATGCTGCCAATTCAACAGACGACACACAAGCTGTAGGGCCAAACGCAAAGGCGAAGACAACACTGAAACATATTGGCAAAAGTCGTTTTTTTGCAGACGTTATAAAACAAACACCGGCAGACAGACGAACAGACAGACAGGCAGATAGACGAACAGACAGACATACCGACAGATAGACAGACGAACATGCACAATGCAATTCTTATAATATGAAAGTTTACATAAATGTTTTCTTTGCAAATATAAACGAAAAGATGGCAGCAAGGAGTTTGACAGACGGACTGAGCTGGAAATCGTCTTGCAGTTTGTCAGCTAGTCAGCACATCAGCTCGTCAGCTCCTTAGCTATATTTTATTTTTGTGAGAGACACACATGTCGTATGATTGATTTCTGTTCGGTTATTGTTTTACCCTG